TTTCTGGTGGTCTGTTGATTTAACGCTACATTTCAATTTACTACTATTTCAAAGGAAATACGAAACACTAACTCTCTCACCTTTACTGATGTTAATAATATAGATAGATTCAATAAATACAAATATTTAAGGCATATAAATTATGCATGATGTTTAAGGCCTCGATGAAAAAAGAAAGCTATGATAATATGGCAGCTCTGGATGAACCTTCCTAGCACTGCCCTACTTGTTGATATAATCTATTCCATTAGTTCAATGGAAAAAAAGGCTTTTCCCCTTTTGATTCAACCAGTGGAAGATGCCGCTGCTATAAATCCACGTGGGACATTTTTTGTTCTATCCAAAACGTTTTAAGTATATTATATGAGCTTTTTTATCGACTGTGCTTTCTTCCAGACCCTGTGTGGACACAACAACTAAAGCAATGGAAAGTTTGTTTTTTAATTATGCCAAAATTAAAAATGTAATGCTACACTGCTGCAGCTGCAGTTGTAGTTCATCAAACTAAACTCTGAGCTCAAAGATACTGTAAGTTTTGTGAAGCCAAGAAGAAAAGACCATTCTCACTCCCGAGGCGTAATATAGAGACCATTTGTCAAGTCCCGAGCCGTTCCTGAGGAACGCAAAAGGTGACCTTCTGCGTTCTTATGCTATGCACCGGGTTATGGATGAAATCCATAGAATGACGCTCCTGCGGTAATACACGTTCCAGCCCTAACCATAACCTTATCCCTAACTTTAACCAGCACTTTAATGACATTAGAGAGTAAAACAAACGTACAAGTGTAGATTCATTCCAAATGGCTCTCATGTTTCCTCATTTTTGCGATCTCGTAATATAGGCATGCGTTGGGTGCCCGGAAGTGTAATATACTGACGATTTATCACCTAGTGTAAAATGTTACGCTTTGGGAGTGAGAACGTGTCCAGCAGAAACTCGTAGCTGAGTGAAAACCTTTGGTGGGGAAGTAAAAGGAGTATTTCTATTTACGGTTATTATTTATTTCTACAATAACTCAGATGTCCTAAGTCAAAGGAGCTTGCAAAGAAAAGCGTCTGGACTTCTTTAAGTTGCTTGAAGATGTTTCACCTCTCATCCGAGAAGCTTCTTCAGTTCTAAGGTCAAATGGTGGAGAGTCCCAGATATAAACCTAGTGGGAGTTTCCCCCCACAGAGGGACAAAAGGACCCCCTGATGATCCTCTAATCGCTTGAGCCAAGGTGTGAAACTGGGTGTGGGTCCCAATCAGCCAGAGTTTCGGGTGAGCTCGTTGTGAAACCTGGCCCCACCTTATCATGCGAATTCCTGAGGTCAGATGGCCCAGGATGTGAGTGGGCGTTAAGGCGTCTGGGGAGGGATCTCAAAACTGGATTATAGATGGCAGAGAGTTGGTGTCGTAAACCACCACCTCTGTTCAAAGATGGTCGCTCACAGTGGACATAGATGCTTCTTTCACTCCTAAAGTACTGGCAGCTACCCAGTCATTCCACGGATGGACAGACTCCAACTTCACCATGAGTTGGAACAGTAAGAAGAACTTGTTCATATGTAACTACTGAGCTCAACAATATGCTAAGCCTAGGATCATAGTCATTAAAATCTTCTGATGAAATGATCATAGCTAAAGCCAAAAACCTCTTCATAAATGTTAAGGAATGCCAACTTTTTGGTGTCAGCAAAGTTAGCTAAGATGCTGTAAAGCTTGGATCCACCTCACAGTATTATATATTTACGATAATAAAGTACGATGACCTGGATGACTGAGAACCTTCACAGTCAGATGTCCTAACTTGTTCAAATGCAGGCACACTTTACATGCCGTATATTTGATGATATACTATACTGTTTGTAATTTCTTCGATTTTCTTAGATTTCAGAGCAGAGTACAATTGATGACACTTTGCGGTAACGCTGATGCTTTTAGCAGTGGCAAAGAAATTGATGCCGTAAAAAGCAAAAACACTTGGAACACAAATACTGTACAAGCTTGCCAGCTGCATCTCATCTAGGCTAACCCAGAAACCATCTCATACACAGTGAATATTAAACAGACTATTTATAACCAAAGGCCATGCCTCTGATCTAATTAATTTTTAAAGGCTGTCTGTCAAACATTTGTGATAAAAGTCACTATGATTAGAAGAGGTGAGTGGGTTGTCTTATGCATACTTCAACATATAAAGTGGAGGTAAATGTGGGATGTGTTGGCCACTTGCTTTAGGTGTGATATCTTCAGGGGTTTCCAAGTCTTTTGGCCAAATAATACTAGATAAAGATCATCTATATATTCAGAAATTGAGCGTGCACATATCCAGCTCCCTCACATATTTGGACATTATCCAGTCTTTAACCTGCCAGTTTCCTAGTGCAAAATCTGCATGGTGGCTGAATGTGCTGACATACAAATCGTTGCAACAGTCCAAAACTTTCCATTGGGAGAGAGAGAGCAACTGCTAGCCTGTTGTGATTACATTAACATTGTCTGAAAGTTAATTTATGAGTCCATGTATCACATTTCCTCATTGTGTAAGAGTCTGTCTGCATATGCAGTCTCACCATTTTATTTTTAACCTGATGGCCAAATGATTAAGGTGCATTAGGGGTAGTACTAAGCTGTCACCAGTGTTGGGGAGTAAC